CCAGACCCATGACATATGTTTATTCAAATCACTCCATGCCGAAGCGATACGTTTGGCTCTTGCTATCTTTTGCTCGACTGCGGAATGAATCAAGCGCCACCCTTGATGGATATCCGTGCGGATTGGGATGTGTGGGTGGGGGCATCGATTGTACGGCGGCCCCCGACTGCAATCATTTTCTTAAGATGCATGCCGCCCTCCCTCTCCTCTCATATCTAAAGCTATTCCTGAGCAGTGATTTAGGAGATAAATACAAGCTAAGAGTTGTCATGGTGATTTAGACTCGGGAGGTGGAGATAAGATGGTGCTTTCCTGAGGCAGAGGAGGGTGAGACAAAGACAAAAAGGAGGATGAGAGACACCGAGTGCGAGAAAGAGAACACAGAATACCTCTGCTGGAGGGCATGATAATGTGTAGAAACCCACTTGATTAGTTTGTGCTTCCCTCTAAAACGAAACCACGAGACAAACAGTGATAGCAGATTAGGGCTGTAGACCATTGAGTGAGAATGGGTTTGTGTGTGCGACTTGATAGGTAGTGAAAAGGACAGCGGGAACGACTTGACACGAAGACAAGAGAGCCTCTGGCTTGGAAAAATAGATGCCGTCTAATAAATTGCTTTTGAACAAGTCCAGTCACCTTTAGTGTCACATTTGTTAGAAAGACGCTTAAAGTAGCTTGATCTGAATAAATATGTGGGTCTCTGATAATGGAACAATCTGACCCCATCAAATATCGAACAGAGAGCGAATGACCCCGGAGATCCTGAGCGTTTGGGCTTGCGACCTCTTCTGCTCTTTCATTTTATATGTAAACAAACATTTTCAAAGACTCACTATCATCTAATGTAAATCATCTCAAGCAGGGCCTCTGCTGGCCAAATGGGTGCCCTAAGCAGGATTGTATTGTCTAATAAATTGCTTTTGAACAAGTCCAGTCACCTTTAGTGTCACATTTGTTAGAAAGACGCTTAAAGTAGCTTGATCTGAATAAATATGTGGGTCTCTGATAATGGAACAATCTGACCCCATCAAATATCGAACAGAGAGCGAATGACCCCGGAGATCCTGAGCGTTTGGGCTTGCGACCTCTTCTGCTCTTTCATTTTATACGTAAACAAACATTTTCAAAGACTCACTATCATCTAATGTAAATCATCTCAAGCAGGGCCACTGCTGGCCAAATGGGTGCCCTAAGCAGGATTGTATTGTTGTGCCCCCTCCCTCAAATATTATGGAAGTAAAAAAAAAAACAAGCAGCAATTACCAGGCCTTTGGTTCCCTTTGCAGGCATTTGTAATAACATGTAATGTTGAAAAAAACAATAGACACCATCACACAATTTGTAATGGTTTTACTGGTTATAATGGGACTTGTATTGGTTTTAATGGATACTGTAATGGACCCTGTTGGGCTCTACTGGTGATTGGTCACTTTCTATTGGTGGCTTGTTAAAACCAATAAATCCTAATGGAATATGTCCCAAAACACACTACAGAAAACCATTTTTAATGGTTTTAATGGTTAAAAGTTGATGGTTTGTAATGTTTGTAATGGTATTTTTTATTTATTTGTGATGGTATTACAATTTTCTGTGATGGTTCTATTGTTTTGTTTTTCAGCAGGGTTGCCTCATTGTTTATATATAATGCATTTTATGTCATTTTAAAGGCTGTTGTTGGCTTAGGTTTGTTTTTATAATCACAAAAATATGATCTTAATACTTCTTTGTAAATTATTATTTGAAGTAACAAAACCATGGTTAATGTGCGGTTGCCATGGCTACAAGACCCATGATTTTTTTTGGTTTTAGTCGTGTTAAAACATGGCTAATTTTCGTAAGGGAACATGGAGAAAATTAGATGAGCTAGTGGTGGTGAAATTATTACCGACATTATAATACGTTATTAATTAACCTCAACACCCAAAAAAGTTTCACAGGCTACCTGAAAGTGATGCATGGACTTCGTTTTCATCATCTTTTTTTTTCTTCTTCTTTTCTCGGCGGCGGATTGCTGATGTCTTTTCACGGGCATAGTTGTCAATCAATTATGATCATTTGCATTCAGTGTCACGTGTTTTTTTCTTTTTCTTTTTTGAGCAACTGGGATGGTGGTGGTGCCCCCTTGGGAGTTGGTGCCCTACGCAAACTGCGTACTCTGCGTATAGGGAGCGGCGGTACTGATCTCAAGGGCAGTCGATAAATAACAAGGAGAAAGACGAACTGAACCAAACCCTGCAAAAGCCAAACAAACCCAATAGACTGCTGAACACGAGCCTGTCAATCCAATCATAGCCTGACCTGAGCTTTAGGAAGACGGACTCGGCTCTCCTGGGAATGACTGTGATAAAGGAGGAAGATGAAATGATATGAAGGAAAAGAAAACACATAGAAGTTCTGTTCCAAAACCTACCGAGCTGCCCTGAAGTCAAAGGGAATGTTACTCATTATGCAGGCTTTATGGAAAGTAGCATGTTAAGTTAATTTTGCATTCCTTTTTCTCACTGTATTCTTATTTTTTCTTACATTGTACATGTTTTTTTTTTTTTGCTGTAAACAAAGTATTTTACCCCCTTATGCCATTCCATGCAAACTAGGGTTATTACCGTTAACTAAAGCTAAAACTTAAAATAAAAAACATATGAACATATGTTTTAAAAAAACGAAAACTAATAAAAATGACAAAAACATGCAACAAAATTGCTAAAACTTTCACTAAATTTAAAATTAAAACAAAGTGTCTTTTTTTGAATTCTCATGCAGCCAATAGAAAACAAGATGAACCTTTTTGTCATGGCAATGGCAAATGATTGCAACACTTGCTGCTTTGAAGTAACACAAGTTCTGTTAAATATATCACTCATTTTTCAGTATTCAATTAAATATGTTTATTATCATTTCTCTTGATTCCAGCTTCAGTCGTAATCAGTGTTGTGTAATGTTACTTGTTGCATTACTAATTATAAAAAACGAACTAATTGTTATACCATTAACTAATAACTAATTATGTTACTTCACTTTCTTTATGAAAAGTAGCATGTTAAGTTACCTTTGCATTACTGTTTTTTGTACTGTTTACTGTTTTTGGCATGTTTTTCTGCTAATGCCATTGCATGCAAACTAAAACACAGATTGCATGCAAACTACTCACAAGCTTCTGGACTTTTTGCAATAGAAATTTATTTACACAATCAAATTGCAGGAAACATTGTATCTATTCAAAAAGTGACTATTTCTTTGGAACTCTCATGCAGCCAATAGAAAACAAGATGCACCGTTTGTCATGGCAACGACAACACCTGCTGCTCTGAGGTAACACAAGTTCCATCATTTTATAAAAATATATATTAGTCTTTTTTTTTCTTCAAAAAAACGCAATGCATTGGGATTCCCTTTTCGCTGAAGGATATATGCAGTGTTTCTATAGAATATGTCCAAAATGAGATGTAGAAGGCAATGGGAACAGTCTTCGTGTCAGGAGCGCACCTGTGATGTCTAGATAGACAGCTCACTTGTTTTTGGAACAGAGCTGACGCTCTGGAGTGACTGATGGAGTGGGTGGACAGCTGACGCTATCAGCATCTGTGTGGCTCAGGTACACAACCACCGCTTCTCTCTGACAGCGATGAGACATTTCAGAATGACTGCCTGGTCACGCATAGACTGATTCTTATACCTGTACACGGAGAGGTCTGGTGATGTCTGCTATTATTAGGGGTGTTTACTAAGGAAAGCGTCACTAACTATTGCGACAGTGTACTTAGAGGCCAATTCACTAAAATTGTAACTAAAATTAAAGTGAAAACAAAAAAATATATAAACATCCCACCATAACCACAAGCTTTGTGCCAGAATACTCTTGGAGTTAAAGGTTTACTTAGATGACATGTAAATTATTTAACAGACATACATTTGTAGACATCAATTATTTAGGATTTTAGAATGCCTTCTTTAAAATATTGATCCAAAAGGTAACGTTTAATACAATAAAACTTTGTAGGCAGGTTTAAAAAAGGTTACATTAAATACAGTGTGACACCTCACAGCTGCTAGTGCGGTAACAGTACACATACATAAGAAGACTGATATATAAATGTCAAATGTTTGTTTTCTATGTTTGTTTGAATTAGTTTAAATATGCCAGTCATGCAGGCACTTTGTGCTGGTTTCTTTCTAATCTTCCGCATTTCTAAACATCTGCACATAAAAGCCTTTGGTTTTCTCGCTGGGCTTTTGTTAAGGCTCTAGTCTTTGTCAGCTGATGTGGAGCGATTTGTGCAGTGAAAAGCTCCACATAATTCTGAATTCAATACTCTCACAGGTGAGTTTTGCTGCACATTTGTGTGTTTCTTGTACCCTAATTACTCATTTAATTACATTTAATTCATGATTATATCACCTTCAAACCGGATGATTTGATATACAGAATTCTTACAACAAGCATCAGACTCTTAGTAATGAACTGAACCGAACAAAAATGCTACTTATATTGTTTTTTTTTTCCTGGTTTTATTATGTTTTTGTTTTTGTGATAGATTTAAGGTTTTAATGTTTTGTCTTCTGTTTAAAATCAGTTTTCTGTTGTAACCTGATGTTACGGTGCACAATATATACATACATACATAAACATACACACACACACACAGTTGTGGTCAAAACTTTACATACACTTTGCAGTATCTGCAAAATGTTAATTATTTTAGCAACATAAGAGGGATCATAATCATACATTATTTATTATTACATATACTCCACAATAAGTAAATAATAGTTGAATTTATAAAAATGACCCTGTTTACAATTTTACATATGCTTGATTCTTAATACATTGTTGTTACCTGGATGATCCACAGCTGTTTTTTTTTTGTGATTTGTGATTTTTTATTTATTTATTTATTTTTTTAGATGAGTCCCTTGTTTGTCCTGAACAGTTAAACTGTCCGCTGTTCTTCAGAAACATCCTTCAGGTCCCACAAATTGGAAACAAATTCTTTTTTCCACAGCGATGACAGGAGAGACTGAAGCGATGAACCGGAGACGCGTCGCGCGTCCATCTACCCAAACACCTCCGGATCGAGTTCTCGCGTTCACTGACACGCTGCTGAGGTGAGTGTTAATTCAGTCATGCAACTGCTAGACTATATTGAGAATGCAGTCATTAGAACTATTCCTTTTCCGTTAGCAAACTTCGTGTGATGTGCGCTGGGGTGAGTCTACAGGTTGCTTCTGATAACTTCACGTATACGCTGTTGCGTTCTGTTTACGGTCTTTAAAATGAGGGATTGAGTGTGTTCGCGTGTTTAGTGGTTGTGTTGGTGCATACTGATGTAATGCATTGTGTTCCAGAGATTTCTGCATCCTCTCCCAGCTGTCACAATGATTTATGCATGATGGGCAACATGAAAAGGTTACTCTAATTGTTTTGTATTGACTGGGGCAAAAATAGTTTGATTATAAATAAGATTTTTTTTTTCGAATCTGTCTACTCAAACAAACTGTTGAATCAGAAAATGGACACAATGGTGGTGTGTGCATATTCTGAAAAGGACACACACACATGCATATAATAGCTATATGCATAAGAATAATGCTGTTGCTTTTCATTTATGATAGTAAGCAGTTCAGAATCTTATATTTAATAATGGGGGAAATGGTTAGGCTACTTATAATATTTTGTTCTAATGAGTTTCTGATTTTAGTAGCAAACAAATCTGGTTTTCATAATAAAATATTATATGCTTTTTGTAGTAGAATCAAGATTTTACGTTAAGGTTTACATGAATATTTAAGATTAAATTTTAAGGTGCTGCTCATCATTTTTTTTCTTTTTATTTCCTAGTATTTTTAATCACCTTTTTTTCCTTCACTGGTTCATTATAAATGGCCATTCGGTTTAACATACATTTTAAAAAGTACAAATATTCTGTCTCTCTTTATTAATATGCACATTGCACTTTTTAAAATGTATTAATGTTTAATATTACAATGTTTAATATTTAATGTCAACTGCATATATTTAAGATTTATTTTTTTCTTGATTTTTGAACATTAACATACATGGAATATCTGTACTTTTAAAAATATATTGTATAATATTTCATGTCTCTCTCTCTCTCTCTCTCTATATATATATATATAAAAATGATTTTTTTAACATTAAGAGAATATATTGCATATTTTATTTATTGCATGATATTGCATATCAACTGCCCATATATATATATATATATACATATACATATATATATATACACACACATATATACACACATATATACATATATACACATATATACATATATATATATACATATACATATATATATTTATGAATATACACACACACACACACACACACACAATCTGAATGAGTGAATGTAGCAGAAAAGGTGGTTAAAATGGTGAAAAACCTAATATGTAACATTTCATAATAAGATACATCCAAAACTTTTATAATTAGATATAATTACATACACGTTTTTTTTTTTTTCCATATATAGTAGTCAAATTTCCATAGACTACAACACTTCAAATTCAATTACTCTGCTTTCTTAAATAGTGTAAGCCTCTCAGCATGCATTTTCTCTTGTTCCTGAAGAGGAATGTTCTAGAAAGCCGTGAACCTGAGCTTTCAATCAGGAGAGATAAGGCACTGTCCGCGTGCCCTCTTCACCTTCTGCTGAGGTCTCACGCTTTGATGCGACATAAACACTGAGTCAGAACGAGCAGCCAGTGATGGAACTCATTTCTGTCTTTTTGAAGCCTGTACATTAGGAAGCTGCGACTTGAATTACCTTTCAGCGTTGAAGCCTAAATATTTACCTCTCTTTATGTAAAAGCAGGCAACCGTATCCATTAATTTCACCGGAGGCTTTGGCGATTACAGAGAGAGCGCTGTGGCTCTGGTTATTGCACGCCCTGCAGGGCTGTGATAAGTACTAGGCAACGAAGACCAATAATTGTGATTTAATCTCAGTCCGAGTGAGTGTAACCTACAGGTTGTGGAGGGACCACCGAGCTGAAAATCAGAGGATCGACTGTTTCTGTGATGAGCAGGCCGCCCGCAGGCCACAATCTGTTAATGAATAATAGAGACTCCTCTAAAGTCCTTACGGAATTGATCGGTCTAAAATAAATATTGACTAATCCTCATGTCGCTCATTCAGAAATTGCTAGTAAATTTCACAAATAATCATGAAGAAACGACAAGTAACACACTGAATTCTACATAAAATTTTGAAGTAGAAAGATGGAAATATTTTCTTGTAAAACATATTACAATATTTTTTGTTTGTGTTTAAAGCTTAAAAAGTTTCCACTGTATGGACAAAAACTGCTAAAACTTTCAAAATAATTATTTTTTTCAAAAATAAAATTAAAATGATAAAATAATACATAAAATATAAAAAGTAAAATAAAAAATGTGTTCTGTTATTTTTTTAATGAAAATAAAAAATTATTTAGCATAATGAATCAAACAAAATTAATTTATACCAAAACCATTTTTTAAAATTTAAATCAGGTAAAAATTGCTCTTTAAGGTAACAACTGCATGTTACCACTTTTTACAGTATAGTTTTAAATTACAGTAGTAAATTACAAAAACACCGATTTTTCATTTTTGGGTGAATTATTGCTATGGGAATGTTATATCTGATTAAATATAAATATCTAATATTAACTATATCCTTCACAAGTCTAGACACTTGCTTGCTTCTGTTCGCTGAGGTGATGAGCTGTTTTGGTGAGTCGTATTATGTGCTCGGCCATATGGGAGCCAGTCTGGCAAAGCTCAAAGTCTCTTACTGATGTTAGTGAGAATCATCTGGCTGTCAGCTTAATTTACTGTTTGCTTGAGGACTAAAACAGCAAATGCTTTAGTTGTGTCCCTCACCATAAGCCAGTGCTGCCAATCAGATTGAGCACTGCACCTTAAAGGAATAGTTCACCCAAACATGAACATTCGCTGCAAATTTGCTCAGCCTCAGGCCATCCAAGATATAGATTAATTTGTTTCTTCATCAGATTTGGAGAAATGTACCGTTGCATCACTTGCTCAGCAATGGAACCTCTGCAGTGAATGGGTGCCGTCAGAATGAGAGTCCAAACAGCTGATAAAAACATCACAATAATCCACAAGTAATCCACTCCAGTCCAGTCCATCAGTTAATGTCTTGGGAAACCAAAAGCTGTGTGTTTGTAAGGAACAAATCCATCATTAAGGCATTTTAATTTTAAACTGTTGCTTTTGGCAAAAATAGCATACGTAAAGTTCAAGTCCCTTGTTTGTCCTGAACAGTTAAACTGTCCGCTGTTCTTCAGAAACATCCTTCAGGTCCCACAAATTGGAAACAAATTCTTTGTTTTCCAGCATCTTTTGTGTATTTGAACCCTTTCCAACAATGACTGTATGATTTTGAGATCCATCTATTCACACTGAGGACAACTGAGGGACTTGCATGCAACTATTACAAAAGATTCAAACAGTCCCTGATGCTCCAGAAGGAATACATATAGGAAGGAATATTATATATATATATATGCATTTGCATTGTAACACTGTTTTCACCTCATTCTCATACTGTGTACATGCTGATGTGCATGATGTCAAACATGATGTCTCGAAATGCATCATGATGTTTGGCATCAGTAACCTCCAACACGATTACATGTTTTGAATTGAACAGATGCCAATCAGATTTGAGAGTTACTGCAGAGGGAAACCTATTTTTATCATTCATATAGACCAGTTTTGAAACTTGTACAGAATTTTTTTTTTTTTTGAGTTTGGCAACATGAATCAGCCTCTATTTTATAGACAGGAACAGGACACTCTACAAAATGTGTCCTTTTATGCGCCACAGAAGAAACAAAGTCATACAGTTTGGAATGACACAAGGGTGAGTAAATGGGCTCTCACAAAAACATGTCTGGGCTATAATACACTCTAGAGAAAAGCCTATTTTAAAGACCATTTAAAGGAATAGTTCACCCAAAAATGAGAATTTGCTGAAAATTGCTGTGTGTTTTCAAGAAACAAATCCATCAAGATGTTTTAAACTTCAAACTGTTGCTTCCTGCTAAAGTACAAGTCCATAATCCATAATATTGCTTTCTCCAGTGAAAAAACAATCTCGTCTGAATCAGGAAATAAATATCCACAGATCAAACACAATGTCCAAGCCAAAAAAGCCCCGAATGATTCCAAACAAATATGTGGATGGATTTTGTTGTGACAGACAACAGGAGATGGAGTTTTTCTCTGGAGGAAGCGTTATTATTTGGACTCATATTTTAGCTGGAAGCAACGGTTTTAAGTTTAAAACATCTAAATGATGGATTTGTTTCTCACAAACATGCAGCTTTTTGTTTCACAGGATGTTAACTGATGGACTGGAGTGGTGTGGATTATTGTGATGTTTTTAATCAGCTGTTTGGACTCTCATTCTGACGGCACCCATTCACTGCAGAGGATCCATTGGTGAGCAAGTCATGTAATGCTACATTTCTCCAAATCTGTTCTGATGAAAAAAACAAACTCATCTACATCTTGGATGGCCAAGAAAATTTTCATGTTTTGGTGAACTATTCCTATGATATTTATAAATCAACTAAACTGAAGATGATGAGCGTTGATAGCAGCTCAGGAGAGAGCGGCACAGGGGCGGACGGTGTAGTGCAGGCAGGAGGGCTATTGTGCAATGCAGCATGGCAGCTCAAAGCGAGCCTGCTGAGGCTCTGAACAGCTGGTGTATCAGCATGGAGTTAACTGTTGCTTTTGGCAAAAATAGCATACGTAAAGTTCATAATCCATAATAACGCTTCCTCCAGTGAAAATCCACCCACATATTTGTTTAGAACCGTTTTTGGATTGTTTTCACATGTAAATGGTGCTCGATCTGTGCAGATTTTGCTCCTGATTCAGACGAGACGACTTTTTTCACTGGAGAATCCAATATTATGGCCATAATATTATTTAGCCAGAAGCAATGGTTTGGAGTAAAATTTTAATTATTACAAACACACAGCTTTTTGCTTCTCAAGACATTAATTGATGGACTGGAGTGGTGTGGTGTGGATTATTGGGATGTTTTTATCAGCTGTTTGGACTCTCATTCTGACGGCACCCATTCACTGCAGAGCATCCATTGGTGAGCAAGTGATGTAATGCTACATTTCTCCAAATCTGTTCTGATGAAAAAAACAAACTCATCTACATCTTGGATGGCCAAGAAAATTTTCATGTTTTGGTGAACTATTCCTATGATATTTATAAATCAACTAAACTGAAGATGATGAGCGTTGATAGCAGCTCAGGAGAGAGCGGCACAGGGGCGGACGGTGTAGTGCAGGCAGGAGGGCTATTGTGCAATGCAGCATGGCAGCTCAAAGCGAGCCTGCTGAGGCTCTGAACAGCTGGTGTATCAGCATGGAGTTCCACTCGATGCGCCGGTGAGGCCCAAAGGTCAGACGCCGGTTGATGTCGTGATGGGGAGATCAGAGACAGAGAGACCGCTGAATGCACACTGAACTCCACTATCTCGGTCCTAGCACTAGTATTATCACGCTGAGCCCGGCGAACCCTGGACAGTATTCAGTTTCTCTCGCCTGTGTGTATAAATACAATGGCAGTTGGGTTCAGACAGGAGACCAGGAAATGAATGCTGACAGTCACAAAAAAGCAGAAGGGAGATAATGCAACAGGGGATTTGTGTTAAAAAACTATTATACTGAAATCAAACTTGACCAAAATTGAACATCCCTGGTCGTATTATGCATGATTCATCAGTGCATGTTATTTGTTTGTTTTCATCAAAATGCAATAACATTCTCCAGGTGGGTGGGGAAAATAATATTAGTCATTCATTTCTGAGCTTAACCTCCACAGACAAGTAAAATCCTGATCTTAATGCATAGCATATGACTCTTCTAAATATCTAGATGTGCCAAAATGTGCAGTATGACAATTAGACCAGAAGAAATATTAACCGTGAATTTCTTACATCGCTTTCTTAACTGATAAGTTTCATTACATTACCATTCAAAAGTCTCTTCTGCTCACCAAGGCTGCATTTATGTGATCAAAGGTGCAGTAAAAACAGTAATATGGTGAAGTATTATTACAATTGTAAATGTTTTCTATTTGAATACATTTTAAAATGTAATTTATTCCTGTGATTAAAGATGAATTTTCAGCATCATTACTCCAGTCTTCAGTGTCACATGATCCTTCAGAAATCATTCTAATATGCTGATTTGCTGCTGAAGAAACATTTCTTATTATTATCAATATTGAAAACAGTTGTTGTAATGTGCAACAGTGATACATTGTTGTCATGATTCTCCGACGAATAGAAAGTTCAAAAGAGCAGCATTTATTTAAAACAGAAATCTCTTGTAACACAAATTGTGACTTTGATCAGGGTATTGCAAAAATGCATAAAAAAAAACAGTAGTGTAAATATAAATGCAGTTTTTTTTTGTTAACTTTAATGCTGCTTATTTTCTAATTAATTAATGTTCAATCAAGGGAATAAGTTCACCAAACATTGCCTTTGTTGTGGCTTATTAATTTAAAATTCCTAATCATGTCTTAGAGAAGAAAGAGAATGTTTAATAGGTTTGTTTTGAAGTGCAATAGTTTGATCATTTCTACAATACAAATACTTTGTGTTAATAAAGTCCAGTGTTGCTCAAGCCAAACCCGTGGGACTTTCTTAAAAATAAAAGTTTTTGTCTTGAACCATGAAGAACTTTTAACAACTTTCATTGCACAAAAGGTTCTTTAGATTATTAAAATGTTCTCAACAATAAGAAAAAAAATGGTTAATTTAAGAACTGATCACTGAAAGGTTCTTTAAGGAACCCAAAATGGTTCTTCTATGTTTGGAAACCTTTATTTTTGAGGGTGTGTCAGCACCAGCCTAACAGCTCGTGTTTTCTAAAGCACAGTTGCTGGTTGAGTGAAGCAGGAGTAATTTTGTGTCCTAACACCTCTGTAGTGTCCAGCCAGCAGCGAGAGTCACCTCTGTGCCTCATTAAGCTGGAAATCAGATCAATATTCCTACTAATATCAGAAACGTGAGAGCGTCTGAGTAGGAGCGTTAAGCTTGTTAATTGATAGAGTCACAAACGGATGGTAGGCGATCTCATTAGAAGTAATCTGGAAAAATAATAGAGTAATGAAAAAGATTCTAGTTTTTTTTTTCTGTTGAAAATGAAGCATGTGTACAGTTTATGATCAAGTGGCTTCCCGACTGCAGACTCACTGTCACAGCCTTGCACAGTTGAATTTATCCTGACATCATAAATAGAGAAGCAACAGATGGCAAAAAAGATTAATTTTCCTATCTGTCTGATTCTGCTGATGCCGTTTGGCAGAACATTGGTTAAGGTAGAAAAATGACAGAAGAGAACAGAAGAGAACTTTCATTTCTAAAGGTCAGGAAGCTAGAAATCTCACAAAAGAAACAAACCAATATGTCTTTGTCGACAGGCAAAAAAGGGATTTGCCTGAAATCATGCAATATTTGAATGTTATTAAATATGTTTTCTTAGCTATGTTTTTTTCTGTGTCTTATGGCAAGCAGCAAGAATTAGCTTGATTAAAGTGGGAATTAGAGAGCATGAAAATGGCAAAAATAAAAACATTCTCTGATTTATTTATTTTTTTTAGGCAGCCTTGTGTTTTTGCCCAGTGTGTGCGTTTTTCACAACTGTGAGGTGCAAAAAAAAATATGTTGCTGTTTCACTTCGTTCAGAACTGGCCTCTCAGTCTCACAGGACACGGTCTCGTTAAAACCCCTGTGAAAGGTCGGTTTCTGCATCTGTGGTCTCCTTCGCTCACAAACAATCTGAAAGTCGGGCTTTACACGTTCTGAAGAAAATAAGAGTGGTTGACAGAGTGTTACTATGCTGGATGCTGCTTTTTTGGTTGCTAAGGTGGTTCGGTGTGTTACTAGGGTATTTCAGGTGGTTGCTAGGGTATTGTGGGTTGTTTTTAGTGTCTGTTGTGCAATGTGCATCTGTGGGCTTTTTTATACCAGCAAATCTATCAGGTTTCCGAGGTGCTGTTAATGTCTGGCTTTGTGGTTTTGAACAGGTTTTTGGGTAAATGCCTAAAATAAAGTCTGTGCTGAACAAAAGCTCAAGATATTTTTATGGTTTATTCTACAAGATACTGTAAAATACACCAGTAATACCTCACTCGTGATTTACTTGGGAGTCTTAAAAATATGGCTAATGGGACTACAGAGGTTTTTTCAGGGATATTAAACATCACCACATCGAATCTCATCTAGTCACTTTTACAGCCTCATTGTGTTTATAATCGAGCTCTTGCAAACTATTCTAACTTAAACTTTACAACTCATAGATTTTAAATAAAGATTGAAAGATTTGTCTGAAACTTAGTGAAGGTGACGTTGAAGTCATGCGACCCATTTGTAATTCGTTAATAGTCTAACTTTAGCTTTTTACTTCTGGTCATTGAATTTAGGCTTTAGAATTCAGAAAAGTTGTTTTGTGAAGATTATCTTGATGAATAAAATGTGTAAGAATCATAATACTTGTCACAGAGCTAATTTTCTGCAATAATCAGAAAGTCCATGGAAATCCTGTTGATTTTTTGTTGAGGAACCTTGACAAACCTTCGGGCTGTCCTATAAAAATACGTCTCTCCCAGGCTGATTTGATTACTGTACCTTTAAGACTTTTATATGAAAGCTCATTGTTTTACACATCATTTTGAATTGTCTTTGCAATTTAACCTCAATAAAGGTTTGCATTGTGAATGTGAAAGTATGGATACTTATTAATTTAGACTACTTTTTCAATGCATGTTAGAACATATATTAAAATGTGTGCGAATTGTAGTTGTGTTTATGAGTGACTGTTCATTTTTATTTTGTCCTGATTTAGTTTTTGACATGGGGAATGAATCACTTCAGGAGAAACATATAAATAAAAGAATTTGACTTGCTGAGAAATCCATTTGCAGGCCCTTTATCAGAGAAATATGAATGAATTAATCTATATATCATTATCCACTGGAACTGGCTCATAATTTTATGCCAAACGAGTGCACACTTAATTATAATGCATGAGTGGTGGTTTAAAAGTTGCCTGTCTGATAAATAAATCCACTTCACTGATAAAGCTCCATTTTTTTTGTCTGTTTTCAGGGTTCATCAGTCTTCAAACCAAACCATCATGGCTGCTTTACGACCAACTCTCTCCTGATTGAAGCTGGTCGCCTAAAAATTGCGCGACTCACTGAGAACTGCTCTTCAGCCAAAAATATCTCCTCAGCATATGCCAAAGTGCTTTTAGCTTTGTCCTTGTTATCCACTTTGCAACCTCAGTGACATCAACCAATGCCATGCAGACTTTCGAAGCGAATCTGATTCTGGATTCCAACCACTGCAGATGTGCGCAAAAAGACGGGAAGCTCTTGTTTTACAAAGTGCACTAAAACATTAACTGCGCTTTATGAATGTGCAAAGAGAGTTGGAGGTTTGCAGAGCGTTTTGACACCTTCACACATCGATGCATTAATCTAAGACGGATCGCTTATGCATCAAACCTAATGCCTGGAAACTACAGACAAACCTCTTTTGTACCTTAATAGATCACACAGATTGCAACAACGGCATTTTTGTCATTCACATTGTTCTGTATAATGTTGCAGCTGCACATGGTTATGAACATGTCAAAACAACCCTTGAATTTATGACTTTATGACAAAAGAATCTGACGTTCTCCGCAGCATAATATGCTTAGTTCCTCTTGTTTATTCCTTCACCCACAGCTATTTTCCACGAACATACAACATTAAAAGCCCATCTAGGAGAAATGAGAAATGAGACACAACAGTTAAATTTAATCACGTTCCCTCATTGCAATGCTGGAAATGCCCCAGTGTTCTTGTACCACGGCCAATGCAGAAGTAACGCTTTCAACATTTTCTTGGAGAGATATTAAGGTACAAATCGAACTCACGGCATCAAAATCAGACCTTTATTAAATGCCTGGACGTCTTGAACAGATGATTCCCCTCAAAGACAACATGACTCCGGAGTCGTTCCATGAAAACTGTAGCAACTGCAGCCAGGTTCTCGTCCCGGAGCTGAACGTCATGAAGGCTGTCGTACTGGGAATGGTGTTGGCGATCTTCATCATTTTTGGCGTTCTGGGCAACATCCTGGTCATCCTCTCAGTGGTTTGCCATCGTAATCTACGCACAGTTACCCATTATTTCATTGTGAACTTGGCGGTCGCGGACCTTTTGCTGAGCTCTACGGTTCTTCCGTTTTCTACAGTCTTTGAGATGTTGGGCCGTTGGATCTTCGGACGGCCGTTTTGCGATGTTTGGGCGGCAATGGACGTCTTGTGCTGTACGGCGTCCATCATGAGCTTATGCATGATTTCGGTGGACCGATATATCGGCGTTAGTTATCCGCTGCAGTACCTGTCCATTGTGACAGAACGACGAGCGTTGCTTGCACTCATTGTTTTGTGGGCTCTGTCCATTACCATCTCAATTGGACCTCTTTTTGGATGGAAGGAACCGGCGCCGGAGGACGAATCCATATGCAAGATTACTGAAGAGCCCGGCTATGCCATTTTTTCCGCATTGGGATCCTTCTACCTCCCTCTAGTGGTGATTCTGTCGATGTATTGCCGCGTGTACGTGGTCGCGAAGAGGGAGACCCGAGCACTGATTAGTGGACTGAAAACGGAAAAGTCTGATCACGCCACCGAGGCAGTAACTTTGCGGATACATCGTGGGAACACAACGGTGTCCGAGGATGAGGCCTTGCGCAACCGGACACACTTTGCACTGCGTCTGCTCAAGTTCTCCCGAGAGAAGAAGGCCGCTAAGACCCTGGGCATCGTGGTTGGATGCTTTGTCCTATGTTGGCTTCCGTTTTTCCTGGTTCTTCCGATCGGTAAGTGTTTCAGATTTTACATTTGATTAGAAGCAAATACTAGCTTTGGGAAGAGAAAATATCTTTGTCTGATGTAAATCTCAGGCTACGTTTCACACGACAACAATGTAGTCAAAAACGGAAAAGTTTTTCCCCTGCGTTTTTAAAAAGTTTCACGCATACACGACAACATTTTCAAAACGATTCGCATCTACATATATCCACGAAAACGGCCAAAAACGTTGTATTACGTATGCCAGGCCAGCCTTGCGCAACCGGACACACTTTGCACTGCGTCTGCTCAAGTTCTCCCGAGAGAAGAAGGCCGCTAAGACCCTGGGCATCGTGGTTGGATGCTTTGTCCTATGTTGGCTTCCGTTTTTCCTGGTTCTTCCGATCGGTAAGTGTTTCAGATTTTACATTTGATTAGAAGCAAATACTAGCTTTGGGAAGAGAAAATATCTTTGTCTGATGTAAATCTCAGGCTACGTTTCACACGACAACAATGTAGTCAAAAACTGAAAAGTTTTTCCCCTGCGTTTTTAAAAAGTTTCACGCATACACGACAACATTTTCAAAACGATTCGCGTCTACATATATCCGCGAAAACGGCCAAAAACGTTGTATTACGTATGCCAGGCCAGTAGTTGGCACTCTCACCTTGTTAGTAAACAGTACCTGTTGCTGTGTGTATATGATGCATCTCCGCTGTTGGTTGTAATATTGGTGAAGTAAATCCACACTTTGCTGAAGAAGCGTTAGTTGTTTTGTTCGTACCATTGTTGTGTATGTTTTTTCGCGCTTGCCTTTAAAATCCACACGTACTGCGCATGTCTACATACCTAACACGTACTATGCACGCGCATGATGTCACCATTTTCAAAGGTTCCCGTTTTGGGTGTTTACACGGAA